CCCCAGCTCCAGGGCCCTTCCCTGGACACGCTCCAGCCCCTCCAGGTCCCTTCCCTCACCCAGACCTGCCCCCAGGACTTGAGGTGCCCCCTCCCCAGCACCCCCAGCTCCCCCAGCTGCTCCTCACAAGTTCTCCAGCCCCTTCTCCTTCTGCTCCAGCCCCTTCCCCAGCTCCAGGGCCCTTCCCTGGACACGCTCCCTGGACCCCCCCTGTGCTCTTACCCTCTGGTATCAAAACCCACCAGGTAGATGTTGAAATCCTTGCTGAGGTGACTCCCAAGGCTTCAATGAGTGTCCTCGGGGTTATTCCCTGCCTGGAAATCCAGGTGATCCCGTGGGAATCTCTGCTCAGGCCCCCAGGGAGGGTCCTGCTCTGCAGCCTGGGATGAGCCAGCTCAGCACCGTTGGACACCTCCCCCCTGGGCTTGGCAGCTCTTCCCTCCCACCTGGAGCCTCCTGGGGGGGCAGAGCAGGTTCTCCCACTCCCCCAGTTTCTCTCCCTGTACCCCTCAACATCTCAGCCTTCCCAGCCTGGTGGGACATGGATGTGAGATGGGACTGTGTCCTCAGCCCCTGGCCGGGCTCCTGCAGCTCTGGGTGCTCTAGTTGTGCTGGAACTTCCCTGCACTGAGCAGCCCAACCTTTCTCCTGCAGATTCAGGATCTCCTGTCATCCCAGGAACAGCAGAAACCTGCTGAGACAGAGGCCAGCACGGCAGACACAGGTATGGGGTGGCCACCTGGGGGGGACTGGACAGCAGGAGGGTTGAGGTTGTGGCAGGATCATTTGTCCTCCTGTGTCTGGTGAGAAGGGTGAGGAGCCTGGGAACAGGGAAGATGGAGAAGGAGCTTGGTGAGATCATGGGATAGTTTGGGTTGGAGGGACCTTGAGGATCATCTGGTCCAACCTAGATCATCTAGATCATCCCTCCTGCCATGGGCTGGGAGGTCACTGCATCACATCATGGGCTGGGTTGGAAGGACCTTTAGAGGTCACCTCGTCCAACATCAGTCATCTTAGTTGTAGGTCATCTAGTCCTGGGTCCTCTGGTCAAACCCTCCTGCAATGAGCTGGGAGATCACTGGGTCACAGACTGGTTTGGGTTGGAGGGACCTTTAAAGATCATCTAGTTCCAGATCATCTAGCCCTAGGTCATCTACTCCAACCCTCCTGCAATGAGCTGGGAGATCATTGAGTCACAGACTGGTTTGGGTTGGAAGGACCTT